GTATAAGAGAAGACTCATCTCGAGATCGCACAGTCAGGTACCTCCGTTGCTTATGGATGCATTTGGATAGTGCCACTCGCTATCGCAGTCTACAAAAACGCATATATATGCAACGAGTAAAAAATAACTTGATCGTAATTATCAACATCGACGCGCAGTGCAAACTCAAATAAACCAGGTATTGCACCTGATTTTATTAATGACAGACAAATTATTCGCAAGAAAAACTATCTACAGTTTTCTTTTATCTATTGTATACATTAATACATATAGAAGGTGTATTTTAAAAAGCACCATATAGCGCTATTCCTGATTAAAAACTTATGCAAAAAATTTTAAAATAGTTCACTCACTTTTTAATCAGGAATAGCGCTATATGATTCATGAGTGCTTTTTAAGATATACCCTGTATGTGTGTGTGTGTGTGTGTGTGTGTGTGTGTGTACGCGCGCGCGTGTGTGTGTGCGCGTGGGGGGTGGGGGTGCGCGCGCAAATATATATATATATATATCGTATTATTAACTATATGTATAGTAAATATATAATAATATGTTAATGTTATAGAGAGGAAAATTATAAGTATTCGATCGGCAAAGTCTACATTGGTCAAACCAGACGTCAATTCGAGTCATTTTAGCGTTCCTCAGCACCGGAGGCGCACCTGCTTGATCTCTATTGCACGAATTAGTCCACGAGACAATTATCAACTATTGCACCAGTCGTGCATGATCACACGTACAGTAACGACAGTATAATGAGCGAGATGCGGAGGCTGTATTCGAATTGCGGAGTCGCGGCAGTCGTATCTAATCCCTAATAGCATTTTTCATTGGTACAACTAGTGTGCACTCAATGTACATTAAAGCCGTTGTATACTAATTTAATATGAATGGAACAGTGAGACATCTCAATTCATAAAATGTCTAATATATATTTTATTAAGAACATTTAATTACAGCAAAATAAAATGATTTTGCGGTTTAATTTGTTTTAATATTTTTATTAAATATACATCTTTATGTCGATTTGTGTACAGCGGCTTTAAAGCACTGAGTGGGCACAGTTCTGCCAAATGCTATAAATTATACTCGTCAGAATTGGATCGTCGAAGCGCGCGCTAAAGTTGCAAAATTGTCGAAATGGACTAAGAAAAAAAAGCGAGGAGGAATCATACACACCAGGGGCGCGATTCTGTAACTGTTTTACACATCTACCGACAGTTATCGGTATTGCACAACTTTTTCACCATATAAAATATCTACGCGTAAAAACAGTTACGGAATCGCGCCCCAGACGAACCAATTGCGCGCAATCTCGTTCACTGTCGTTACATTTGAGCGAAGCAGAATGGACCGCACGGATAAAAACGCCAAGGCAAGAGAACAGAAGCGAAGGCACATACATAAAGCATATATTAGCGATTATTTAGGCCTGATTACACAATGCTTTTTACTAATAACCAATAAACTAAAAAAAATAGCATCTAAAAGATACATAATTCTATAACTTGTTTTTAAAGCTAGCAGTTGAAGAAATCTATCTATATAAGCCTGATTTTATCCACTGCTGGATCGGCCTCTTCTAACTTTTTGCATTTACATGGTCTTTGGAAGGAAGGAGTTTGGCATCAAAACGCCACGCTTATCATTTGCTATGTGTGTTGGCGAGTATACACTATACATATATCCAATGGTATATAAAACCTATAATTTTTAATGTCAAATCCGAACGGTGATGGTAAAGATACTTTCGGAGGTTTGCCACTGCCTTTCGAGAGATGGCAATCAAATAAAATTTGATATTTTTGTGGATTTAAACCCTGGATCTTTGGCGTAGAGGGCAGTCACGCTACACTCTGCGCCACGATCACCACAAGTTGAAGAAATATCATTTATAAAATTATATATTTTTTTTAGTTGCTAGTTTTCTGGTTCCTAATTGAAGCATGTATTTATGCGCGCGCGCGCTCGCGTGTGTATGCGTATGTATGTGGGACGGGGAGAAAGGAAAGAAAAAGGGAGAGGGAGGGAGGGAGGGAGGGGGAGAGAGAGAGAGAGAGAAAGTTGAAAAAGCTATAAGTATAGATTATAGAAAATGATATGAGAAGATATTTCTTTTCTTCATCATCACTTTCATTACAAAATAAATTGTATGTTACAATTTTATTCACTTTGAAATGCTTTCCCAGCAAGTATTGCAGACTTCACTGAAGCAAATAATACTTCACATAGTGAGAGTTCATTTTCTTTGGCCTTTCTAAAAAAATAAATATTTTTCTTTTTGTTACCGTCTGCTAAGAACCTTCGTCTTTATTCGTACGATCCAATGAGTCTAGACTATTTGGATGCGGATTTGCTAATAACTTTAACAAGCAAGTCGATAAACTAATTGAACCTTGACAATTAATATCGCAATTGTCACTTTCCGAAAGGCAGGAAAGAAAAACAACAAAATTCCACCAGCTCCGGCCAGTCAAGTGTCAATCGGACTTGTATCCGCAAATCCGAAATCATGTAACTGAGCTATACAGGCGGTTAAATCTGTCGTGATTGGATTTTTAACTTAACGAGTTATAAGTTCGAAAGATATTTCACTTATATCTACATACTTATATCTCCTACATATATCATATCGTGTCAAACTATAATACTAGCGTAACACAATACGTGCTGATCATTTATATGTGCCGATATATTTCTAGATGAATAGAACAAACGCAGATTAATGAACGGACAGAATAGAATAGCGAAATTCACTCTCAGGAGAGGAAGCGAGAGACTAACGGAAGACTTTTGTAATATTTGCTGTTTTAACGTAGGAAATAAACGCCGTCATCATTTAATAGCGTGCGTCTACTGAAAAATATTGAGAATGCGCATTTGAAAAGAAAAGAAAACCTAGAAGAAAGCGCGACACGGATTTAACAATTTATTTATACCGAATAACAAACGACTGACAAATATACATACACTTATAGCTATGTTCCAATTTACTGCCAACGCTGAAAATGCTACAGTTTATGTTAAGTGCACTATAGATTTATAAATCAGTCAATTTTGG